GCGAATTAGGTTGGCCATACGCTCTTCCCAATTCAGTTTGTAATAAGGATAAACTTTGTGTTAGAACTGAATAGGTTTTGAAACAAAAATTTCAAAATGCAGAAATGAAATTTATATACTCAATAAAATTGTATTTCATGATATTTGTATAATCGATAAATTTAGAAAACCATTAATAATAAAAAATTCGTTCAAGAAATTTGTAAAAATAAAGAGTATTTCATAAAAAGCACTTTCAAGAAACATTTTTCTAGGCGTCCAATTTTGCACCTTTCATTATATTTATAATATTTCTACTATTTCTGTGGAACTTTCCCTAAGCAGATTATTATTATTATGACTAATTCCTTGGCCTAGTTCCTTAGTTTCTCATTAGTTTTCTTTTTTTTTTATTTGTATTATAACAACACTCTTCTTTTATGAATATTGTACTATCCAGTATAATTATAATACACCAATATTATTTTTTTTTTAGATTCTATTACTGCGTTTTATTTATTTTATTATTCTCTTGTGTCGATTTGGATTTCATCAATTTATAAGCAATTAGTGAAAAAAAAAGCGTTATCGAATCGATAAACGGTAAAGTTTCAGATATCGCCGTCGTTGATTGCTCGATTGCCTTGTCATTTCGCACCAAAATCGTCCAAATCTATCCTTAATGAAAGGAATTTGTGGATCTATCCGTGTTATGTATTTTGGTTGAGATATTCTTGTAAAGAACATTTTTGTTCAACAAATCGCGTTACGCGTGCCCGACTAGTCTATCAGGTCATTTCCAAGAAAGGATCTGATGGACCAGAGAACCATTACCATTAGAGTAAGCTGCTGTCTTAGGTAATCTAGAATTTCTTCCTAAGATTTATGCAGTTTGTCTTAGGTTATTTTTTTAAGGCCACAATCGTTAGACTCGATAAGACAAATGGGTTTTCTGTTATATTGATATGCATCCGGCTTGCGCAAGCAATCACGAACCAGAAACATTATGTATAAAATATTGTGCCTTTGATTTTATTTCAAAAAATGGAGTTCCACTTCGCTCTATTGGCTTGTCGGATCACAGAAAATTTGACCATAGAAACAGATGAATCGCCAGAATTATACGGTTTTTTGATAGACTTGCTCCACAAGTCTGCATATTCTGCTGTATTCTACAATCTTAGCAGTGACTCTCCGAACTGAGCAAACAGCACATTGAGGCTTTTTTTCGCGAGACCTCGCCATACTAGTTAGCACCACTAAGTTGTCGCACTATGTGGTGAAGTTTCTTAGCGATTGCACTATAGGGAAATGTGCTAGCTTCACTCGAAATCTTGGACAATTTGACTCTTTCGGGCAGTATTAGTGCTGCGAATTAAGCAACACCATATTGAACTATTGTACTTCTTTGGCAACATAGTGAGCTGTTTTTACTCTCTTCTACTTTCATCGATTTGCAACATTGCACTCGGTAAAACATGGTAATGAGTTTGTGGGACGCGAACTCGAGCTATTCTCGATCCTCTGTGGTAATTATCTTTTCACTAAGCTTCTAAATGCTTATAGCAGTATAATAGGTGAATAAGACAATAAAAACTATGCTGTAAGTCTGAATAATATATTTAAAATATTTTGATTTGATATTTAATTTAATTTAATTTTAATTTTAATTAATTTAATTTTTATTAATTAATTAATTTAATTAGAATTAATTTAATTTAATTCGACTTTTTCAAATTTAGATTTTATTATATTTTCAATCAGCGAAAATAGTCATGTTTAGTACAAAGTTGCCAACTCGTAATTCCTCATCATATTTCGTCACAATACAAATAAAATGAATTTTTTTTTTGAAATAACAGAGTTATTTTGAACGATTAAGAAATATTTGCAGACATTTGTTATTATGGAATTAAGCACAATCGTATATGCAATAAAAAAAAGTAAATAAAAAAAGTCTGGAATTTCAAATTGAAGAAAAGTCTAGGATCCCTAAAATAGAGATCAAGTGATTAAGATTCTCCTAAGCAATTATTCTCTTGTACTTATCTTCAAAATTCACTCAACTTTATAATTGACTGATTGCGCTGACTATTAAGATAAGATCTTTAAAAGTTATCTGTCACCGCTGGTAAGCGCTCAAGAGATGTACAAATCAGTCTAGAGTATTATATCTCAGATCTTGAATATGCTGATTATGAATGATAGCTCTTTTTGCTTATAATTATGATGAATGTGAATAAAACAAAAGATTTTTTCGCCTTTTATACCTTTTATACAAGAAACGGATAAAATGCTTCCATTTGTAAACTCAAGCCGGTTGAAGAAGTGCCCGATTTTCAATATCTTGGAATCACTCTGATATCAAACATCCCGGAAAAAAACGACAATCCGGATATATGGTGGCTGGAAACAGGTTTAAGCCACTTAACGAAACCTTTATGGAACAATCGTGAAATCACCATAAAAACGAAAGTCAGCGTTTATATAACCGCGATTCGATATTGATATATGCCTGCGAGATATGGCCAATAAGAGTGGAATAAGGTAAAGAAATGAGAAATGATCCACGTATAAAAATATATTTTATAGATTCGCCGAGTGGATAAAATTTGACATGACCGCCTCCACTTTCGATCGAACCACATCGATATTATCTTAGAGCATTACCCACTACAAAACTCGGCACATATTTCATTATTTGCTAAGCCCTATGATGGGTGACGTCAAAAGGGATCGGTCAGGAAAGCTTTTGAAAGTATAGGTGAACCAGCAATATATGGACTTAGACGACTGAAAAAGGAATAATACCTATTACTACCGGCTGTAATCAGACCGCATCGCGTGGAAACGTTGGAAACGTCTTTATTTTCTAACCAGTGAAATCAGCCTATCCAGTAATGGTGTTAATAGAAGATGAAGAAAGGTTATCTGTCGTTCAGGTGAAACCTGAAAACAATGAAAAATTGCACTTATTGCGATATTCTAGGAAATTCTTCATAATTAGCGGCAAAACTGAAAATAAATTTCGAACCCATGGGAGAATATTACTATAGTAGTTAATAGTAAATTACTATTACTATAGTTATTAATAGTAAATTACTATTAATTTGCAATCGATTTGCAAAAAATTATCAAATCCATTTGGAGAATCCTATATGGCAAATGTCTAAAATAATATGAATGTGAAATTAATTTCGGCGAATGATATGATAATAACAATTTTGAATGAAAATTGATGATAATAATCATTTATTTTTTAAATTTTTATTCAATTTAATTTTTTAAATTTAATTTGTTGTTAAGACTTTATTGCATTTTTCTTTCATTTTTAATTTTCATCTTCATAGAAAAACTCAAAAATTTACCAATTCATTTTTCCAGCATTTTTTCAATCATGTTTGCTTTCACTTTTATAAAACCAATTTTTTTTCCAAATCGAATGAATAGAAAAGCAGTAAACAATTTTTTAAAAACATGAATGTGAAGCTAACTTTTAAAAATTCATGTAGAAAATCCTTTAAAAACCTCACCAGAATTCATTCGTAGCAATATATTGGATAAAGTGCTAGTAAAAATGCGTCCTTGTACTTCTCTTTTGACATTATTTCTTCTCTTGATAAGTAAGTTATCAATTACTTCCTTATCATTTTCATGATTCTTCACTTTTTCTTATGTAATAAACCACATAGTTAATAATTATCGATAAATTTTTATGTTTAAGAGTATTACACTTATGATAAAACCTGCTTGTTTTTCTCGATAGATAAATATGCCAGATAAATTCTTGGCAGTAGAAACACAGGTGAATAGCTAGTTTGCCAGGATTTTTACCTTTACCGGTAGTTGCTCCAAATTAAGCAAGAATATACTGAGCCATTCTATTGTCATTTCGCTTTTCTCCATTAGATGATAGTGCGGTCCAGCAAAGAGCTGCACATTGCTGGATTCCAATGCATATTTTGATTCACGACAAATTATTTAGCTGCTAAATTACCAATGCTAAATTTATCACCAGGTAGATAAAGTAGGTAAATTATATAAGCAAGTAGCAGATTAATTCAATGATAGGTTCCAAGTTATATACAGCAATAACTCTTTTTCTGACTTGGAACCAGCGAAGTGAGAGTGCATTGGCCTTTTTATTTGATGCGGATGATATCACTAAAGATGTACTTGGATTACACTATTTATCGATATGCATGCGTTTGCAAAATATCACGAACCATATTGGTTCCAATAAATTGATCCCATTCAATTCTTAAAGATTTGCTCAATAGTTTTAAGAAACGATTCGCTCTTTTATGTGCAAAACATTGCATGTAAATTCCACCTTTATTAGGAATTAAAGAGTACCGCCACCTTTTCCACCACCTTCTATCAGTAATACTCTTGAAACCTTGGTAAAATACTCTTGAAACCTTGGAAGCTTTGCCCTTAACTGTAAAATCGTAAAGAAGCTCTCGAGACTGTAAAATCGTAAAGAAGCTCTCGAGACTAGTGAATATTATGTTTCGACCATTTTGAAAATAGAATATATAATTAGATCCACTCCATGTTCCAGTGGAGCTGTCTTTTTACAAATGAAAAAATGAAACAAAAAGGTTACAACTAAAGAAGCATTTTGATATTGAAAATAAAGTGTATTTTAGGTACAAATATTTCATTTTCGTCAGGTAAAATCGTTTCAATCACTTTTATTTATTTCATTTCCAAGTTTGTTTGAAAATTTTTAATTAATTATTTATAAAGTATTTTAATTTTTAGATATATTTGAAAAGTCTTGCATTTGTCCTTTATTTCATTTTTTGCTTATTGCTTATCACTAAAAACTTTTAATTTTTTTCACAAGTAATTTACAAGTAATTTACACGCTAAAATAACTATTAAGTTTATGTATACTTTAAAATTAAGCTATAAATTAAGTTTTTTTCAGTTTAATCAAAACATTTTTCCCTTTTTTTCTGTTAATTTAACAACGTTTGCCTAATGCTTCCAATTCAGTATTCGATTTCAACAATATGGTTATGTGTAGCTTTTCTTCGACCCTCTATCCTTTTATTCCTTATGGTTGCTACTGCGGTTTTGGAGGCTATGGTACACCGATGGATGAAATTGATAAGTAAGTGACCAAATATTTAGCAATATTATATTTAAATAGCCTTAACAAGATAAAAATAAATTAATGACGATATAACTGTTGCAAATTCCATTAGCACTTGAGGCAAAGAATTGTAATATAAGATGTGATTTTCATAATTAAAATCCATTTAGTAGAGATCATTAATAAATAGTTTTGAGGCTGAAGGTTCCTTCAAAAAAGTGGGTGAACATATAAGTTTATCCTCCATAACCCCAAATATTGTAAAAATTTGTATTTAAGGTGTTGCCAGACTCATGACAATTGTTATGGAGATGCTCTTGCTAAATGTTACAACATAACCTCTCTTCTGTATTTGTGGCCTTATTCCTGGTCTTGTCCAAAAACAGCTGAAGGAGCAGTTCAAACTAAAACTGGCAATTCTCCCATATGCAAAAATTCCTATCGTAAGTATTATTGAATAGAATTGTAAAGTAGTTAAATATTAATTAATAGTCATTATCAATGCTAATTAGCTTCTTTTCTATGAAATAGCAAAAAAACTGTTTCTTGAAACTTCCACACCATTTTCAAATATATGAATCTTGTTGATAATATAGCCAATTTCGTTCAGTAAAATTAATTTTTAAAAACCGAAAAATACAACAAGAAGTTAGTAATGCTATTGCAGGGAATCCATGCGGCCAGGCATTATGTGAATGTGACCAGAAAATTGTTGAATGTTGGGCCAATGTTTCCACAACGCCACCAAGCGAAAGACTAGAATGCATTGAACCAAAATCAAGTATAGTTTTATTTCCAACATCTACGACATTTCTTGTAGATTCAATGAAATAGACTGATAAAATAAATCAAATAAAAACGCAAAATTTACTTGTATTAAAATTTGCTTTGACTATTATTTCTAATTTTAAATCATTAATAATGGTGTGTAATTTTATCACTTTGAGATGACAAAGTCGATTTGTCTGCTTATCGTAGAAAAGCGCTTGACGCCATGAATAAATTCCGAGCGCAGCTTGTGAGTGGAAATATCGCGACCGCGAGCGGAAAGCTTCCACGGGGGAGAGAGGTTTATAAAATGGTTAATTTTTAAATTATTTCAAATATTTAACGAAAATAATTTATTCGTTCGATGAAGTGATCAGGAAATTGGAGCAATCTTCTCGTATTGGTAACGGTAAGTAAGAAGCCAAGTGAAATAGTTTTCCTGAAATAAAAAGCAATTTTAAAAGTCGTTGATAGCGAAATGAAATAATATTATAGAGAATAAAGCACTGCAATAAACAAATAATTTAATTATTTAATAAATAATAAACAAAATAAACAAATAAAATATAATTTAAACGATCTGAATAATTTTTTTACAAGTAACCTATTTAGCGCATACAAACATAGGAAAAATATTAGTTATTTAGGTTATTTAATACTTATAAAAGCTAAGGAAATAGTTTTCTATCCATTTTTTGCGAACGACTTTCCATACAAATTAGCGAATTCGCAATTCGTACGTTATTCTTTGAATTCTTAGATATGGAACGATACATTAGAAGATTTGGCTAAAAAGAAAGTTGACGAATGCAATTTTAAGTTGACCCAAACAAATTCGCAAAATAATGGCGAAGCTACGCACGTTTCGTTTGATATAAAAGGTAAACACGTTTCATTTGAATTGAAATTTAAAGGAAATTTTCGAAAATTAGTTCAGGAAAAAATACTAAAAAAAATAAAATAAATGAAAATCCTCAAAGCCTTGAATAATATTTGAAAATACTGATAAAAAATGCAATTAACAATACGAAAAAGAGC